GCGGGGCGGGGCCTGGTGCGCGTCCTCCCCGCCCTGCGCCGGCGCGCCCTCCCCCGGCGCCTCCCCGTGCGGGCCACGGGAGTTTTTAAAGTACGCTGGCAGCTGCGCGAGCCGGACATTCGGGAGCCGCCCGCTGCAAGGTCCCTGCGCTCGCGGAGCTCCCGCCGCCGCTGTCCTGGGGCGGCCGTACAATCCTCGGCAGTGTCCTGAGACTGTATGGTCATCTCAGCCGCCGCGCCCTCCCGGACCCTGCCTCGCGCCGGCTCCGATCCTTACAGCCACTTTTATTTTTAAATTTTTTTTTTTTTTGAAAAGCCAGAAAATTGACTCCAGTTCGAGGGAAAAAGGAACTTCGGCTCCCTTCTCGCAGCTCCCTTTTCGTGTCTGACAACCTCCTCCCACTCCTTTCCCGACCCCGCCTCCAGGTGCAGGTTCCTCCCCGTCACCTTTCTCCACCCCCTTCGTCCGCACCTAGGCGGCGGGGCGCCCGCAAACTTCCACCCGATCGTGCGGGGCGCTAGACCCGCGAACACTAAGGAGCGCTCACGCCCGCCCGAGTCTCGGGGAGCCCGCGCTGCAGCGGCTGCAGCCCCCACTGGTCGGCGAGGCCAGGTGCTCAGCGTCCCCGAGGGCCAGGGCGACAATGACAGCTGACAAGGAGAAAAAGAGGTAAGCCGGTGTGGGACGGCGAGGTCGCTGGTCCCAGGCAGTGGCCGAGCTTCGCGAGACAGGCGCGACCGCAAGTGTCCCGGAGAGGCGCGCGGAGGTCCTGGGGCCTGGGCGGTGGCGTGGAGGACGTGGGGCAGAAAGCAGGTGCGGGTTTGGGACGCGGAGCTGCGGCTTCGCAGTGAAGGATTCCAGGGCGCGGCGGAGGCGGAAGGGGGTGGCCCCGGAGGTCCCGGTGTTTCGGGCGCTCTGCTCCTGGGGCACTGTACTACAGCTGCCCGCGAGTTGTACTATTTCTGGGTCGATGCCCGACTTTCTCAGGTCTTACCTAGTGAAGCTGCAGCCGCGCCTCTATTATCCTCTAGACCCCCACCCCGGGCCTCTCCAAATGAGCTTCGGTGGCCGCTCTGCGCCCCAAAATGGCTGGGGGCAGTCGGGGGACGCGCGGCGAAGGAACGAGTCCCGCAGAGTGGCGGGACTCGGCCGAGGTCTCCACAGCCCGACGCCACCCCCTTCCCTCACCCTGCTGCGGACTCCGCCGTAGAGCGGGTAGTGACCTGGGTTGCCCTGCGGGGGCAGGTGTCTCGGTGTGCAGGGCGGGCATGGCGACAGGGGCGTCCTGGGCGGCTGACTTCCCAGAGGACAGAGAAGGGCAGCCGCAGTTCGCTCGCCTGCCCTGCGCGCCTGGCGGCACTGGGTGAGAGGCGCCGCGGGCAACCCCGCTGCCCTTGCGGGGCGCCGGCCCCCTCCGCGCGTGGCTCCCGCGCGGCCGCTTGCTGCTTGGGTCCCCCGCGGAGTGCAGCGGCGGGGAGCTGGAGCCGGGCTGGGAGGGCCGAGGGAAGGACGGCCGAGCCGACCGCTCCTGCTGCTGGGAGCGCCCTGCGGGACGCGAGCCAGGAGCAGCGTATCCCGGGTCGCGAGCGGCGGCTCCCACCGCCGGGCCGCTGCGATAAGGGCTTGATAAGCTGGAGCTAATAGCACCCGTGCTGGCCGGGCGCCTGGGCCCTGCCCTCGAAGATCGTCAAGGGGGGACCGGGAGTCACCCCTCGTCGCGCCCCGGGGCCTGCACCCTCGAGAGAGAGCCGGTGCGCACCGCCGCGGGCCGTGGGCGCAGGCTGAGGTCCTGCAGTCCTTAGGGGCCGGGGCAAGGAATAAGGCTTTCGGGTGCGGGCACCGTGTGGAAAGCCAATCGTAACGCTGACCGCAGTGACCTAATAATCAGAAAACTAAGTTATAGCCGGGCCTTCGGCGAGCGTTCTGGGCTCTAGAGGCACCTAGGAAACTTATTGTACATTTTACAACTGTGATGCCTATCGGGGAATGTCGCAATCGCGGAGGAGGGGCCTGATGGTAATCTCGACAAAAGTGCGAAGCGTCGGCCTCTCCCGCGCGCCTTGTTGTCAGGTCCTGTGTTCTTAGGTGTCTTTTCATGGTCCCCACGAGCTGAGAGGAAGGGGGGAAAGTTTTCTGTACCGCCGGCTGTAGTGCCCCTTTGGTTTGAGGGCCGGCGGGAGGTAGAAGGAGCCGGCGGGGAGCGGGAAGAAAGTTTTCGTACCGCAGTAATTTGTGAGTCTCCAAATTATTGGTGCAAGTGGCTGCTTTAAGACGCCTTTTGGGGGGGCTGTCTGTGAAATCTCCAGGAGACCACTGAGCGTATTGGTGGCCGCCCTTTGCGACCTGTGTGGATGTTTTTGCGGGAAGAGTGGCAGGGCAAATAGCGGGTCCCCCTCCACCCAGAGCTCCAGGAGGAGTCGGAATCCCGTTGAGCAAACCATTTTAGACTCCTTTACTTCTCCCCTTGGGCTCTTTCGGCTGCAGGCTTCTGGAAACACCAAGATGGTATTAAAACTTGTGAACCAGTGCATTACATGTGTGATGTGACAGGGAGGCTGCCTACCAGGTGTTAAAAAATTTGTGTTTCTTTGGGTTCCAGAGTAATTTGTTCTCTAGACTTTTGTAACAGTCCCTCTAAAGCCCCCTCGGGAAGTGGGTAGGATCATTTGCTTCCAAAACTTTCCTGTGCTGACAGGGATGTTAAAATGTAACAATCAAGAGTTTGTCTTCTAAACTACCAAAAGGAGCTGCTTTGACTCCTGGCAAAGTGCAAGTCTCAACCAGCCACCTTCCTGACTCTACGAGGACTAAGTGTGGCAGTTCTTGAGTGTGGAGAGGGCGGGTGGTCAGGTGGATGCAAATGACAGCCTTGGATAAGCAGGGATCAAAGTCCAGTCACAAAGGCGGTCTCAGGTCTGAGTGCCTTTCAGGAACGCCTCTATTAGCCTGGGACCAGTGTTGGCCGGAGCTCGGGAGACACTGGAGCAGAAGTTTCCAAACTCTCATTTGCTTCCCATGTCAGCTGGACAAAATAAAATCAAAGTTCATTTTTGCTATCTCTAAAGGAAAAATATCGCTGGGCAGTTTGAGTCAATTGAAGCATATTTTAAATATATATTCCTCTGATAGTTGATATCAGTTTATGTTTTATTATCAAAAATGCAGTATGGTGCAGAATGGATGTACACTGTGAGTTTAGGTATTTAAATTTTAATTTATGCAGCTTTTATGAAGTTCAAAAGAATGCAGTGGCTTCAGGTTTTTTCAATGTTGGTGAGAACCTTAGGATTTTTTTCACGAGGGATTTTGGAAACCATCTAGTCAAATATTTATCTTTGTAATAAAACCCTGAGAGGTTAAAATGACTTCTGTGGTCACAAGGAAAATTAGTACTGATAATAATCAGAACTCTGGTTCATTATGTTCAGTTAATATTTATTTTCTTATCATTTCCCCTCATTCTTTGAAATGCCTGTAACCAATAAGGATATCAGAAAGGGTCAGCGCATCCTGATATCACCATATACCATACAAGATTCCCCAAGCCACTGAATTTTGTAGGACACAGATTTGTTTTTGTAGGTACTGTAATTATAAGAGCCTTCAGCCCACAGCAGAAGTGATTCTGGTCTGTTTGTTTATTTGTTTTTGAAAAAAGACAGGCAGAATGTACGCTCATCTTGGTGTCTGTAAACTCAAGAAAATCATAAATTCATTCTTTTAGTACTGTCCCTTTATTTCAATTAGAAAAAAAGTATCTATACAGATGATCTTATTATTAAACAAAACTAGTGTGGGGACGCAGGTGGAGCAGATTATTTTGTGAATTAGAGAACGCTTCCCCAGCTGCTAGATTGCTTTTGTACTGGGTGAACTGACATGTTCACTAGGGGTTAAAACCATGAGGCTGAGTAGTGTGGCTGAGTAGCCGGCATCCAATGTCAGTCGGTTTCTGTCTCTCCTGTTTCGGGGTACATATGCATAGGGGGCACCTCAACTTTCTAGGAATCTGTTCTGCAAAGTGTTTAGAAATAGAAGGAACCAATTAGATAAATCTTAGTGCTCCAGGACTAACTGTCCAAATATATTTGAAAATACTTGCTACAGTTAATTATGCCAAGATTTAGGCTTTTCCGCTTTTCAGGAAGCCTGTCCAGTCGTTGCTTTTTTTCTATGTTTCCCTGTCCTCTGTTGGCTTGATTATTTTCCCATTCATTTTAGCCTGATGGATCTTCCCTTTGGTTCTTGGTACTGACAGGTCTCGCTTTTACCATCATCATGCAGTTAGAGGTGTTTACCCTGCCCTCACCTAGCCCCACGGTGCCTGTTCTCAATTATATTCACCCCAAAATATGAATCAGTATGGCACATGTGTGTTGAAGAATTCCTCCTAATTTAGATAAAGTGCTGAAGAGCTGACCAGGCAACAGTCTGATTAAGGTGGGGAGAAGGGACACACAGATGAACTTAGCTGAAAATATAAATAGCCCGCAGCCCACACGTGACTTTTCTGTAGGGATCAAATATTTTAAGCAAACGATAAGCTCTAAGCAGCATTTCCAGTAACAACCACACACACAAGCACACACAGTAATTTAAGGGTGTAAGGGGGGATGCGGTTCATAGAGTCCCTGGAGTCACAAAGAGTAGGAGCTTCGAGGCCTGGGGGTAGTCGGTGTTTGGGGGTCATGAGATAGAGAAAACAGGAAGTTCAAGGACACTCTCCATCTGCCGTGAACTTTGTCACCTTAGGCTCCCCAGATCAACTGTTTGCTGTACTTTACACACTTGCGTTGGGTGAGGGGCACAAGGGAACTGGGCAGAGCTTCCTCAACTGCAAGGGCCCTGTGGTTCCTGGTTAAGCCAAGAAGAGCGGTAGAGACAGCTGTGACCCCAGGAGATGCTGGGAAAGCAGAGAGGGGCTTTTTGCCCACACTGTAAATTGGCATCGGGGGTATTCTGTGATTTTGTGAAACTGTACCAGATGTTACATAACACCTTTTTTGTCCCCAAAAGAAGTCTGCTCCACTCTTACTGGCCTTCCACAGTTGTTTAATCTGGAGACTGCAAATACCTACACTTGGGGGTCTCCCTGGGGGACCTTTGCACTTTAGGATCCTTCGGTTCCAGTCCCAGGCCACTTCTACATTTCCCAGGCAGTGACTTTCCCTGCCTTGAAGAGGGGGGCAGGAGGTGGGTGCAGACATCTAGTAAGACTTTGGGGTGCAGCTTTACCTGTACCTGGCCAGCCTGTGTGTCCACCTGCCGTGTGCCCTCAGTAACAGGCGGGAGGGAAGCCAAACACACTGCTCAGGGTTAATTTTGGTGTGATTTGTTTTGTTAATGCTTATTAAAGCGCTGTGAAAATAATTCTCCAGCATGCATTTGGAAGCCCTATCTCCTAGGAATATGTGTGGCCCTAGTAAAAATTTTGTGCACAAAGGCAAAACCAAAGCTGAATGCTCAGTCTTACATCGCCAGCAGCAGCTTTAGAACTTTCCATGGGTTGACTCTTTAAGTCCTCATATCACCTCATGAGATAAGCCCTGTTATTAGCCCCATTTCACTGATGGGAAGACTGAAGGTTACTGCCCAGGGTCACCAGGCAGAGTTGAGATTTAGCCTGGGCAAAGTGTTGCCACCTTCTATCCTCACCCACTGTTCCATGC